CTAGTGAATTTGCTATTTCTTGTCTACAGTGAGTGCTTTGTAAAATCTATGAAACAAAAGTATTCATTTCTTTAGAAAAAAAGATTATTCAAATATGATGTAATAGTGTTTTTTTCCATGACTGAGTGACCTGAGAATAATTTACCTAAGTTTCATGTGCATTAACAATCAAGAAAGCAGTGTTTGACTCCCCGTTTAGATTAGAATTTCTAATATGTTTTTCAAATTGCACCAAAGAGTTTTGTGAACAGTTTCAAGGAGTTTGTAGACCAGGTTGCACTCATTTTAGTTTTCTTTCTCTGAGACTGGTGTAAAAAATACAACAAAGAAATGAATATAAAAATAACGAATTAATAACTACTTAATCCTAAGCAGGAGAACAAATCATTACCTTTAAATTGAAGTAGATCATAGTAACACTGAAAAAGAAAATGTGGCCATCTAGTTATCATGTGTATCACTCATTCACTATTTTAGGGGCATCGGCCATACATTATCAAGCAATCATTAATTAAAATTTCAAATAATAGATTCATTTTTAAGCATACCTCTAATTCATGCATCACTTATAGAAGTTAATAAATGTTTTGAAGGTTGAGAAAATAGAAGTAACATCCTAACAAATAGTGTCCAAATCCAGAATATTCAAATTTTTCTACTTTAGAAGAATAAATGCCTTTCCAAAATGTTCCTTAGGTATGGATCACAGAGGTATTGACATTTGTCTAAACTCTTCAAATTACATGCTTAAGCCCTGTCCATTTAGCTTTATATGCATTATACTTCAATTATAAAAAACTCTTAACCATAAAGACCAAATAACTAAAATCACTTAATACAAGAGAAAAATACAAGAAATAGAAAGGTTCATGCTGAGTGCTATTGATTCATGCAGTCACTTCAAATCTTTTTTATGCTCTTACTTCAACCACTATTTGATCATTGGATCTAGTCCTAAGGGAAAGTGTGGAGAAGCAATTGAACCAACCCTTTCTGCATTTTTCACACACCTTGTCCCTCAGCATTCATGATTTAGAGTTCAAGGTAGGTTTCAAAGGGTGCATTCATATCAAGAGGATTACATGAAAGCATTGGGGGGTTTTGTGGCTAAAAGGGCTTTTCTTTGTTCTCTTACCAGGGGAGAAGGTTTGCTTTGGGCAAGCTCCCTATGGTAAACCTCTTTGAGGAACTCATTCTGAAGTGCATTCAATCCTGTCTTCAGGGCCATCTAGTTGCAGCATTTAAAGGGGATATTGGGACATTGCCTCTCACCACCTTGTAGTCTTTTGAGAGGTGATCTTAGCCAATCTGGAATTTCGGCAGATTTCCTAAAACTTCACTTTGCAAAAGTGTCTACAGAAAAGCAGCTTTTTGAAAGATGGCACATTTACCTAGGGAAAAAAAAAAAACCTTCATAAGCACAAAATTATTTCGAACCTCAAAGTTTTTGGAAAAATATTTTAACATATATGTGGGTACTTCATATATGTGGTACTTAATATATGTGACTACTTTAAAAAGTACATAGAAAACTGGGTATCATGAAAAAACTGTGCAAGGATTATAAAATATTTTGCACCAAAATAAACATCATTTTTAAAAGATTTATTTATTTATTTGAAAGTCAGAGTTACACAGAGAGAAGAGAGGCGGGGGGGGGGGGTGTCTTCCATTCATTGGTTCACTGCTCAACCTGGCTGCAATGGCCAAAGTTGCGCCAATCCGAAGCCAGGAGCCAGGAGCTTCTTCCTGGTCTCCTACACGGGTTCAGGACTTGGTCCATCTTCTACTGCTTTCCCAGGCCATAGCAGAGAACTGGATTGAAAGTGGAGCAGCCGGGACTCAAACCAGCACCCATATTGGATGTTGGCACAGCAGATGGTGGCTTTACCTGCCACAGCAGAGTGCCAGCCCCTAAACTTATCATTTTTAAGATCTATTTACTTATTTATTCATTTGAAAGGCAGAATTACAGAGATATAGAGAAAATGAGAGATGGAGAGATATTCCATCTGCTGGTTCACTCCCCAGATGGCTGCAACAGCCAGGGCTGTGCCAGGCTGAAGCCAAGAGCCCAGAGCTTCTTCTGGTTCTCCCATGTGGGCAAAGGGGCACAAGCACTTGGGTCATCTGCTGCTGCTTTCCCAGGCACATTAGCAGGGAGCTGATTCAGAAAAGGAGCAGCCAAGACTCCAACTTGCACCCATATGGGATGCCAGCCCTGCATGCTGCAGATTAACCTGCTGTGCCACAGTGCCAGCCCTTAAACTTACCTTTAAATTTCATTTTTCCGTAAGCTTTTTGAAGTATCTTCATATACCAATAAAATTTACAAGGAACCTAACTACTGGCAAGTTTATGTGTAAAGTTTATCATTAAGGCATTTCAAGACACAGAGTAAAAACTTGTATTGGTAGCAGTATTTTTCAAGGCATGAGTTAAAAAAAAAAATAAAAGATCTGTCCAAAGATTTGTTCCCACTTTTCTGCACTTCTGCACCTCAAGCCACTCTAACAGGTCAAGTTTGTGAGACTGATTGATTTATTAGAGCCAACAGGCAACTTTAATTCTAACGATTTCTCTCATTTTCCAAAAGGGGAACCTGAGACGGAGATCAGTTCCTAGACTTGATAATGGCCATCCATGAAGATCAAATTGTAAATCTTTACATGTTACATGATCAGTTTTACATACATTTTGAGGTGAAACATTTAAATGATAAACTGCAATTAAATGCTACTAATGTTTAAAACATTGCTTTCTCAAGGTAAAAAAAAAAATCTATCTAGACTGCATGTGGTTTTGTTAAGTAAAAGTGCAGTCTGTGTAACCAGATAGACACAGATTCAAATCTTAGCTCCAGGGGCCGGGGGCCAGTATTGTGGGGCAGCAGGTTAAGCTGCAACTTGTGATGACGGCATCCTATATCAGAGTGCTGGTTCAGATTCCGGTGCCGATCACCTGATCCAGCTCTCTATTATGGGACTAGGGAGGCAGCAGAAGATGGCCCAAGTGCTTAGGCCCCGTACCTATGTGGGAAACCATGGTGGAGTTCCAGGTTTGGACCTGGCCCAGATCTGGCAATTGTAGCCATTTTGGGAGTCATTCAGCAGATGGAACACTGATCTCTCCCCTCTCCCCTCTCCCCTCTCCCCTCTCCCCTCTCCCCTCTCTCCTCTCCCTCTCTCCTCCCCCTTCCCCACCTTTCAAATTTTGGGAGTCAGTCAGCAGATGGAACACTTAAATAGGTAATAGAACCCTGTAATGGGTAGCCAGTAGCATATTTTTAAATTCTAAATGAAGAATGTTTTACTTAAAAGTATTTGGCTTTGTTGTTGATCCCTAGAATTACCAAAATAGAATTAAATAACTTAAAATATAATTATCAAATTATAATTACAAAAATTACAAATACAAAATTACAAATTACAAAATATTTTTGAGCCCAACTTGTGGAAGGTATTTCAATGGAACAAAAGGAACATATAATTCAGCCCCTATCCTGAAAAAAGAAATTGATTCACATGAAATCAATAGTGACCCATATAAGTCTCTACATGGTCAAGTGCTTACTTGTGGCTGAGAATCAAAAAGTGTTATCAGAAAGGGGAAGAGGGAAGCATCAGTGAAGATTATAACACCCAGAACTCGGGGGAGGGACTATGAATGGAGTTGGGGATGGAGTTGAGAGGGTGCTTGGGGAGAGAGAAAAGCTGCCCCACAGGAGGCATATACTTGAAGGGAAGAGGCTTAGGTAGGAAGGACAGGCTCCAACCTGCCTTTGGAGGAGCCAGCTGAGCAACAGTCATATTCCAAGTGCTCTCTTATCATTTCTCATCCACCCAACCTTTTGTTGCCTGGCTCAGCTTTGAAGCAATGGAATGTTGACAGGGAGAATAAGGGCTGTGATCAACACAGCCAGATTTGGAACTGGGAATCACAACCCTAGGCCTATTTCTAATCTTTTATCCTTACTCCTCCGCCATTTTCTTAATCATATTTCACATTGAAAGTTCATCTATTTAAACACAAAGCAATTGATTTTCTACTTCCATTTTCCCCAGAAAGCACTGTGTACCAGCCAGAACCCCAAGGTCCCACCCATGCCATTAACCAGCCATGAAGGAAAGAGCCAGGCACCTTGTCTCTGGGCAGCAGGTCCTTCTGGGAAGGAAACTGCACTGCTGGACTAGGGATTCACCGGCTGGAAGACAGAAGAGGAATAGCAAGTGCATCTCACAGCCCAAGTTTCTGAATGCTCTTTAACACGCTCTTTAGGCAAAACTGCCAGCCACGAAGAATGCGTTTGATTGTTCTGCCTGATAATATACTGTTCAATTTACAAGGCGGCTTTCTGGTTTTCTTCCTGTCTCCTACAGGTGTCGGGTCCTGATGGGCACTGTATAAAAATCCCAGAGTTGACCTGGCAGTAGCACTCAGGACGCCGCAGGAAGAGAGGACAATAGCTGTGCTACAGTTAATGAAGGAGGACTTCTCAGTCCTTTAGGGGCCAGGGAGATGGCCTGAGAAAAAAGCTCTTCTTTCATGTTGAAACTTAGAGCGCAACAAAAACGGAGCCAAGAGCAGCACCCCCCCCCCAACCATCCAGTTCCTAAATATCACAGCGGCAGGCACCTTTATCTGCAACAAAAGTCAGAGTAGGCATTGACTGTCCCGATTAATACAAGAGCCCGGTTCTAGTCCAGAGCCTCAGAGTGCCGTGAGGCGCGTGACGACCCATTCTGGATTTGGGCTTCTCTTTGACAAATAAACAGCCTCTGGGGAAGCGCCCCGGCCACAGACGGCCCCTCTGCCGCTGATGCTGTCCAGGCATCGCCCAGGGGAAAGGTTGTGGCGCGATCGGAAGGCGCGGGAGGAGTCAGGCGGTGATTGATGGGGAAGCGACGAATGAATAAAAGTACTTGTCTGGGGACAGCAGAGACCCCGAGCAAGCCCCGGACGTTTCGCTGTCTGGCATTCTCTCCGCCTTCCTTCAGAGCCAGACCCGCCTGCAGCTGGAGGGAGGCGTGCTCTGCTCCCTGCGCATTTAGGCTTGGAACCCAACTGCGAGCCAAGCGTGCCTCCGTTGCAGCTCCGGGAAGGAGGTCCTCTCTTGTCGCTCTGCGCCTGCTGCCTCCGTTCCGCGAGGTAAATATTCTGGCTTGGTGTTGCATTAAAACCAGCGCTCGGATCTTGTCCCGGGGCCTCGACTTGACTTAGTAGTTTGGGATTTTATCGATAGAACAAATTAAAATGAGCGTGCGGGTACAGGATAGCCTGCAGCCCCTAGAAGGGGGACAGAAGTTTTCAATTTAATCCAGTATCCTCCCCCGCCATGGGACCCAGATGACAAGTCTCAGGTTCCCCGATTCCTACCGCGCAGTTCTGGGTGCGCTCGCGGAGCTGGAGCGCAGCCAGCCGGCGAGTAGCGGCTTTCACCCCGGGAGGACCCTAGGAGTTCAGAGCCTGGATACCGGGGTTCCCCTATAGGGCAAATTACAGAGTAGCACACGACCTTGGCCACTAGGTGCTTTGATTCCTCAGCCCTCGTGCGCTCCCTAGCCAGATGCGCCAAACTTCCCCACTGGCGCGCCAACTTGGTTTTTGCTTTTGCGCGCAGACGGTGGCTACGTAGTTGCTTCCTGCGCTCGCGTTTGCAGAGGCGTGGCTGGAGTGGCTGACCCAAGTGTTCTGTCTTGATTCCCCTGCCGGTCTCCAGGCTCTGAAAACTGCCGGGCTGCCACTTGACGCCCCGCTAAAGCAGGCAGCAGCATGCAGCCGCCGCCAAGCCTGTGCGGACTCGCCCTGCTGGCGCTGGTTCTTGCCTGCGGGATGGCCGAGGTCTGGGGAGAGGAGAGAGAAATGCCGTCTGCCCCCGCTACTCCACCGCTTCTGGGAGCCAGCGAGATCCTGACACCTTCCACTAAGACCTCTTGGCCAAGGGATTCCAACGCCAGCCTACCACGGTCGTCTGCACCTGCTGAAATACCCAAAGAAGGGAGGACAGCCGGAGCCCCGCGACGCACCCCTCCTCCGTGTCAGAGACCAACAGAGATTAAGGACACTTTCAAGTACATCAACACTGTGGTATCCTGCCTCGTGTTCGTGCTGGGCATCATCGGAAACTCTACACTGCTGCGAATCATCTACAAGAACAAGTGCATGCGAAATGGCCCCAATATCTTGATCGCCAGCCTGGCTCTAGGAGACCTGCTGCACATCATCATTGACATCCCCATCAATGTATACAAGGTAAAGGGCACCTGCTAGTAACCTTGCAGGCTTATGGGAGGGGGGATAGCACCTTTAGAGGGAGCTAGCAAAAGCCAGAAATCATTGGTGCCAAATTCCCTTCGGAATTTGGTAATCCCAGGACAAGCCTCGTTCCCAGACAAGCAGCCTTAGTATCACTTGAGAAGTTGCTAGAAATGAGAGTTTTTCTGGCTCTACCGCTAGCCTTACGGAGGAGAAAATCTGGCTTAGAGCCCATCGATTTCTTATTGAACAAGCCCTCCAGGTGATTGCAATAAACTGTAAAGTCGGTGAACCACTAGCCCAGAGGATCTAGTGCCCAAGTCCAGCCCACTGGCTGTAGCTTGGCTAGTCAGGTGTGACCTATGGACTGGCAGCCTTGACAGCATTGGAGAGTTTGTTGTGAATGCAAGTCTACCCCAGACTTACTGAATCGGAATCTGCATCTTGTCCAGGTGATTGAAATGCACACCAACTTTGGCAAGTGCAGTCTTGGAGGACCCTTAAGCAGAAGATCTGGAGTGGGTTTTTAGGAATAAATTACCCTGGGGCCCTGGGGAGGCCCCGACTAGTGAGCAGGACAAACACATTTCACCTGCTGTAAATGAGTGTAGCTCTTCTGTACTGAACGACTACCGTGCACCAACCACAGATTAGATGTCGTATTTCTTTTGCTCTTTCCACACACCCATAAGTAGATATTATCCCCATTTAATCGATGACAAACAGGGCACTCAGTGTCTCACAATGAGTAAGAGGGAAAGCTAGGGATCAGGCCCAAATGTACCAGATTCCAAAGTGCAAAGTATGTGACTGCGTCCCGTTGATTATTTAAGGAAGAAATCAAGGAACACTGAAAATCTAATGATTGCAGTAGTTCACAGTATTGTGTGATTATCAGGGACATCCCAGGAAACAGCCACAAAGAGCCAAGCAGGACATAAGTACCCACACTTCTTGACTCCGGATTGCTTTGGAATTCCAAACACCCCCCAGGCCCATCTGGGCCTCAGTTTCCTCAATTCCACAATAAGGCTGTGAGTGCCTACCTACAGGGGTGGGAGGTTCCTGGTGCTTAAGAAAAACAGCTTAAGAGCTATAGACATATTTAAAATTCTGCCCCCTCAGCAGCAGCACTACAGAGTTGCACGTAAAAGCACAACCAAGATGCAAGGTAACGGGATGCACTTTGTGGATTTGCCCTGTCGTGAGTACAAGGTGGAGAACGGGCAGGCAAAGGTTTTAGGGGATGCTTTGATCTTTGTGCCGGGAGCAGTTACCGTGAGTTTACAGTATGCTGTGAGGCATATCTGTAAACTTCCCTTCATGAACCTCTGGAAATCCTAATCCCAATAGCCACATTTTGAGGGAATTCCAGACATTTCTGAGGTTTAGAGAGGAGATTCGGATTAGGATCTAGGCCCTAGAGGGACACACTCCCGGAAAAGGAGGGACACTCTGAAGAAACCCTGCAGTCATGAATGACAGTTGCTTCTGAGGAACTCTGAGGGTTTTCTTGGAGAAATGGGCTGATGCATGTGTCCCTTAAAGGCAGTTCCAACTCCACTGGAGCCAGAAGTGACCCACTTACTTCTTACTGAGTCTCACAGGCCAAGTCCTACCATTCTAATTTGACAGAGGAATTTCAAGGCAATTCATCAAAATGGAATTGAGAAACTATTGAATACAAGGTGGTGTGAAAAATTAAAAATAAGGAAAACAGTATCCCTTGCAAAAGGAAGATTGCAGTCTAGTTTTGCCAGGTTTGAAAATTTTGTGTAAGTCCTAAAGAGTTCCCAGGAAACCCCACTTGAGTATCCTAGTTACAAACCTTCTGAAAGCAGCCAGCGGCTGACAAGCTGTGAGGAAGATGGGGTTGAAGACACCTTCCTGGTGTGTCGCCTCCACATCAAGTGTCAATCAGCAGTTTCAGGACCACTTTGCTTTCTGCCTGGTCACATGAGTATGTTCAGTAAACCAGAAAATATCTGACTCCCAAAAGGGTCACACAGGTTTCCTTTCCTTTCAAATTCTTTTCTTCTTTAAGATGTTACTTCGTTTTCCCTGAAGCCATTCAGTCTATTTAAGCTATATGTTTACTTCTGAAATAAACAGATGAGTCATTACAAATCTAGTGACATAATCATCTGTATTGGCCATAAACAAATTCCATTACATAAAATTAGGACCCAGAGTTAAGTATGCCAATGATGAATCTTATGTTGTGAACTTTGGTTTTAATTGAGGCATAATATGATAATGCTACCTTCTATTATGCTCTAGGGGCTTGGTTTATTTCATTACATCACTGCAACAATCCTATGGAGGTATTGTTAACCCTATTTTACATCTAGTGAAACTATGCATCAGAGATGTAAAGAAACTTGTCCAACATCATACTGCTAGAAATTGATAAAACTTAGGCTTGAACCAAGGTCAACTGGCCCTAGAATCCTTGATGCTCTCAATCCCACTGCATTGAGTGCACTCAGAGACAGCATGGCCCTCCCTAAACTTGAGTGTTACAGGACCACATTTAAGTGCATTGCTGGCATTATGCGACACAGTACCACACAATAGGATGCTGGGTGAATGTTTTTCAGAAATTAATTTGGGTCATTTGAGGATGTCTATCTCTTGAAATCCACTGTAGACAATCTAGCATATAATGATAATAGTGGATGTCATTCTAAAGGCTTTATTTACCAAAATACCTAATACAGGGCTACTAAAAAGATATTTATCCTGCCAAATCACTGCAGCTCCAGAGTAAGTTTTTAAAAATACACTTCAGAGAAGTATTATAGTTCATAACAAGTAATTTTAAGAGAATCATGAATGCCATTTAACTGTATTCTAAAGTGAGAAACTTGAGTCTCTAAACTAATGATTTCTAGTTTTGTGAGCAATAGTCTCTGAGAATATAGTATGTACTATTTGTGAGGGTTCCTGGAGTCCTTCAACCCTTCTGTTGGCACACTACATGCCCAGGGGCACAGAAACAACAATATGAATCTATTACATGAATCTGGAGTTCAAAAGTACAAAGTTCAATAAAATTGACATCCCTCAGAATGCTGGAAGCCACAGTCCTTGATGTGGCTGTGGAATGGGGGGAGGGCACAGAAGTACTGCTGTGAGAAACTAACAAACTTGGGAGCCACGTCTGCCCTGCCTTGCCTCCCTCAAGGGGCTGAGTCCCTGGAAACATTCAGGTAGTCAGTGCACTTTCCAGGTCTCCTGTTGTACAGCCAGGGATTGAAATCCTTTGTCTAAGGCCATAGAGGTATCTATGGAACCTTAGTAAGATAACCTGTTTAATAGTTTCAAATAAACTTTTAACATGTTATAAATAAAAAGCCCCTTTACCCTGCTCATCACATGCTAAAGCTATGCCTATACTACTGGCTACCTCCCTGATGAAAAACAAGAAATTCAATCATCCAAAATGTATATTTAAAAACCTATGTATAGGCCGGTGCCGCAGCTCACTAGGCTAATCCTCCGCCTGCTGCGCAGGCACACCGGGTTCTAGTCCCAGTCGGAGAGCTGATTCTGTCCTGGTTGCTCCTCTTCCAGTCCAGCTCTCTGCTGTGGCCTGGGAAGGCAGTGGAGGATGGCCCAAGTCCTTGGGCCCTGCACCTGTATGGGAGACCAGGAGGAAGCACCTGGCTCCTGGCTTTGGATCAGCACAGCGCGCCAGCCGTAGTGGCCATTTGGGGAGTGAACCAACGGAAGGAAGACCTTTCTCTCTGTCTCTCTCTCTCTCTCTGTCTAACTCTGCCTGTCCAAAAACAAAACAAAACAAAACAAAAACCTATGTATGTGTATATATGTATGTACACACACAATTATTTAATGTTATAAGAATGCATATATATATATATAAGTATGTAGATATTTATCACTTGGGACAGGATCTATCATTAGTAAGCACATAAAAATGCTATTAAAATAAATGTATGTGCATTAAAATGATCATTTAATTTCTGAATGTTATTTTTCAGCTCCTGTCAATATAAACATGGCTACATATAATGTTCTTACATAGGGCTTTGCTCACATGTGTGACTACATCTAAAGGGTAAATTTCTAGAACTGGAATTACTAAATTACAGGATTGTAACTCTGATATATATTGTCATATTATACTCCAAAGTTATTGTCGCATAGTTTTAATCATTATTTTGTATATCTCTCTACATATATATAGAGAGAGAGGAGTACATATCTTAATGTCTATCTCTAATACATATTTGGGTCACCATGGCCAGTATTTACATGTTCTATACATACACACCTGCACCAAAAGCCAGCATTTAAATATCTAATGTTAGGATAAATTGCTCCTTATCTACAAGCTACTTATTATGTCCTCCCTAATGCTAAAATGAATGTGGTAATACAGATGTTTGCTGTATATGAAAGCCTGATCTGACCACTAAGTTATAATAGCACAGATGTGAAACCTGTGTCAGTAGCAAAGGAACTGGGTACAAACATGGATGCTATGAAGGTATTTATGTTGTGATTGGTTGATTGGTTAGTTGATTTGGCTTGGTTTGGTTTGGTGCTTATATTTAACAAGACTTGGTTGCAGGTTGGAGAGAAGTTAAAAAATTCTTGAGCAAAGAATGAACTTTTCTGGATTTCATTTACCAAGTTCACTCTCTTTGTGATACATTTACATGGATGGATAACAGAGTTAATACAGCTAATTCTCAAATATAGCTTCCTTTATGATTTACTCATAAGTAAACAAATTGAAAACACATACATCAATATCCACATTAACTAGTGTGATGAAGATTCAAATGTAATCAGGTGTCCAGTGAAGGTAGAGGGCTAAAAATTAGGCTGGTGCTCCTTTGGAGGACTTTAATAATATTTTGCTGTTAAGACTTTGTAGGCTACTATTAGAGGCAAACAGGCTGCCTTCACAGTTCTGAAAGGCAAAACCGCTAATCTGATCTTTAACATTTAACTAGTTGAGGTAGGGG